TTCAGACCGGCCCAGGGCACCGCTGACGCATTGTTTTTGGCGCGGCGCCTGATTGAAGCAGCTTTTTTTTTTTTTTGGGGGGGGGGGTAAATGTGGGCAACTTCTTATTGCTCTCAGATTGGGGCAAAGGGTTCGACCTCGTCGAGCCAGATGGACTACTTCACGCTTTGCGACAATTTGGTGTGCGTCCAGATGTGATCAGCATGATCAAGGGAAGTTACGCGGCACGCAAGTTCATCGTGAAAAGTCGGGACAGGAAGTCGCCCAAGCGATGTCAGAATGCAGGGGTCGCACAGGGGTGCCCTTTGTCAACGTACTTATCTGTCATCGTAATGCCTATTCTTCTGCATGCCGTGGGGGTCGAGCTACGCGGCCCCGCGAGAGTCAACGGGCCGTGCGCCATAACGGGGGGCGTGCTCTATGCCGACGACACGTTGTTAATGGCAGAGAATCCAGGCGTTCCTCGAACCCGCTTGCAGTTTTTGCGCGCGTTGTGACATCATTCGGTCTGTAGCTGAATGTCGGCAACACTGCGCTCTTGAAAATCCGACGCGATGCGACTATATTTGGTGCCCGGAGGCAAACCTATTCAACGCCGAGACCGCGCAATCTATATGGGTGGCTTTCTTAGTGCCGATGGGGGCCAACAAACAGCTTACACGGTGCCTTGGCGAGGCGAAGAGCGCATTTCAAAAGCTCAGCGTTCCGTGGAACCGTGCAAATCAGTGCCGCCGTCGAAAAGCGGCGAAATTGGACACATGCATTTTTTTCGAAGCTATTTTACGAGCTAGAATCTTGCATGTTGCTCGCCGCTGATAGGGGCAGGCTCAGTGGTTTCCAAGCGCGGTGCCAACGTGAGAACTACAACCCCCCCCGGCTTTTTTTTGTCGCGGGTGAGCAATGAAGAAGTAAGGGCCACGAGTGGAACGGCGCGGCTGTCTTCAACATTGTTGCAGCAGCACTTGGTTTATCCTGTTCTTGAGCAGGCTATGTTACGACGTGCCCAGGTGCTGGGCCTCGCTTTCATATCCTACGCCGATCGTTGGGATTGCTGCCTGCAGGTGGGCCCAGCGGACGATCACAGAGTGGTGAGTGTACTGCAGGAGGTGGTGGGTGGACAGAACCGTTTCTGGACGCACCGCCCTGGCGGAGATCGCCGCTATGAGAAGAAGGTCGAGCACGCTCTTTGCTGTGTGGCAAGGATACGCTGCGTGGCTATGGTCAACGACACGAGGTTTGACGCTGCTGAGATCCTGGACGTGGATGTGGATGCAGAGTCAAATATGATATACAAGCAATTCTACAAGCGTCTGCCTGAGGATGAGAGGCGACTGGTGCGAATCTATCGTGCTGGAGCTGTGTCCTCGGAGACGCGGAGGTGCTCGGGCAAGGGCTGCAAACTCTGCGGCTCCACGTTCCCGAGTTTCAGACACTACTGGAAAGAATGCCCAGCGTACCGCTACTCGAGAGTGGGCATTGCACGACGTTGCGGACTTCCACTGGATTGGTGGACTACGGCGCCACGCGTGTAGAGCAAATCGGGCTGGGTTTGTTTCTCAGATGCGCCGACGCCTACTTCAAGAGCGACCAAGCTGACGGCCGCCGTGGAGATGGCGCTGGTTGTCTTGGGCACCGACATGGATGCCATATTGCATCCTCGAGTGGACCACGTACCTTCTCAAGAGGTCCGTGTTGCTCGAGGTTAACGTTCTATCAGGTGGAGCCACTCCAGAGTTAGGGTGCCCCACATACACCATCTTCTTCTTCTTCGTTGGTTTATTATGGGAAAATGGCTCGTGATCGGCCCGGCGCACTTCCCAGGCAAATGGATTTTGAAGAAGGGCAAGCATGCAGGTTTCTGCCGAGAAGATGGGACGTTTCACGGAAGCAAGGACGCCCCCGCCTGCAGTGGACGCGTTACATGCACGCGTGTGCTCTGAGCCTGGCAGGAGATTGTCCAGATAGCCTGCGGGGCCTACTGCGAGGCCCTCCTGGATCTTGGGAAGCTGCAGTTGCACGGTATTGCAAAGTTGTGTAGTTAGTGTGTTCTTTCCCTTGCCATTGTCCTCCTTTTCCCTCCCTCCTCTCCCTCCTGCCTCCCTTCTTGCATAGTATCGCGCTGATGTATTGCCTACCGCCGCCCGCCGCTGCTCAATTCAGTGGCCGTGTTCTGGCGCGCATGCACTTAACTTTCATATTACCTAACAGCGAAGACTGATAGGTTTCTAGTTGACTCAAAAGAGCTCACAGATCACTCCACAGGGGGGTCCGGGCAGGTGTTGGGGAGTTGCCGGGCGGCAGGGTGCCGGGCTCGTTTTTCACCAACGGTCACACACTTCGTGCTCTTCGCCTTCCCAGAACTCCATTCCCAGGCCACATTCTGAATACCCGGATGCAACAGTCACACACAAAGTGCTCTTCGAGATCCCAGAACGCCATTCCCGGGCCACATTCTGAATAACCGGATGCAACAGTCACACACTTCGTGCTCATCGACATCCCAGAACGCCATTCCCGGGCCACATTTAGAATAACCGGATGCAACAGTCACACACTTCGTGCTCTTCGAGTTCCCAGAATTCCATTCCCGGGCCACATTTTGGATGCCCGGAGCCAACTGTAGGCCACTTCGTGCTCTTCGAGTTCCCAGAACTCCATTCCCGGGCCACATTTTGAATGCCCGGAGCCAACTGTAGGCCACTTCGTGCTCTTCGAGTTCCCAGAACTCCATTCCCGGGCCACATTTTGAATGCCCGTAGCCAACTGTAGGCAACTTCGTGCTCTTCGACTTCCCAGAACTCCCATTCCTGGGCCACATTTTCAGCAGGGGCAAGAGCACGACGAGGAGGAGGACGAGCAAGACCAGGAGGACGAGGACGAGCAGGAGCAGGACGAGGAGCAGGAGGAGCAGGAGAAGAAGGACGAGCAGGAGGAGGAGGAGGACGAGCAGGAGGAGGAGGACGACCAGGAGGAGGAGGACGACCAGGAAGAGGAGAGGAGGAGGAGGAGGAGGGAGTACCAGGAGGAGGAGGAGGAGGAGGAGGAGGAG